GTAGTGTAGAGACTCCATGCCCAGATTGTAAAAAAAAAAAAAAAAATCCCCAGTGAGCCTTCTCGCACAGACGCTGTGCAAGATCAGGGAGGACGAGGAGCAGGTCCTCCTTGTGGCACTGTATTGGCCCACTCAGACCTGGTTCCCGGAACTAATGCTCCTCATGACAGCCCCATGACAGTCACCGACGTGATGTCTCTGTTCTCTCCTTCAGGGAACGAGGGTTACATACATAACCGAGACGTTCCCTGAGATAAAGGAACAAGCGTTGTGTCACTTGCTGTGCTACAAGCTGCACACGAATTGATGACTGTCGCTTCAGTCGAATTATTCTGATGAAATGGCGCTCTGAGCCGACTTATATAGGGGTCGGCTCCGCGCATTCTGGTGGGCTAGAGCGCTATTGGTTTGTGCAGCTACACAAACGTGAACAAATCAGGCTTCAGTATCAGTGTAAATAGGAGTTTCCCCATACACCACCCTCATTCCCTTATCTCAGGGAACCGAGGTTTCGTCAGTAACCGGAGCGTTTTTTCTGAATTTAGCAGTAAGAAATTACTCGTCTTCCAGTTTTTTATATCAACTATGCATTCCGTTAGTTAGTAATGTACAGGACTTTTTCTTTCTTTCTTTCTTTCTTTCTTTCTTAACTTTACTGTTTAATTTGTGCCCCCTATCATCCACTGGTCATTGTTTGGCATTGCTGAGTCAGGCTGATTGAGATGCTTAAACAGAGCAAGAAATATCCTGAAAAACCCAATCATCATCTCATTCTAAAAATAGACAAGAAAAGAGAAAGAAAACAGTATTAACGGCATTTTCAAACTGTCAGGTTTTGATGTCAACGTGTGAGCAGACAAGCTGCTTGTTCATCGCGTGCATGAAAATATAAAAATGTTTAAAATAATGTACACTGAAATGAGACTCCAGTAGCAATAGATGTTTTTTTTTCATACCGTATTGGCCAGCACAACATAAAAAAAATTGCTGTGTTTACCTTTAAGCTAAAATATGAGAAATGTTTTTTATATTGGAAAAAATACACACTTCACCTTTGACTATTTTTTTTTTCAATTATCAACAAAACCTAATATTGCAACCTTAAATGCATACTTTTCATTCACATAATTTTGTCTTCACATATTTTGTCTTTCAGAATTAAGCAGAAGGAATCAAGGTCAAACGTTCTAAATGGTATTCCTTTCAATAGTGTCATATACATTTTTTATATAGCATGATCCAATAATTTTTTATTCTATGTCTTATGTCAAACTTCACAGAGGATCTGATTGAGGCATGTCAGTATAAGAGGATGTTAAGTAACGTGTATATTTGCCAGTGTATATTTGAGGGGAATGAAGAGCACAGCGGCCCCTCTCTGCTTAACAATATCTATACGGAGGTCTACATCACTGATGGTGGAAGCAGTGAGCACACCAGTGAACATGAAATCAGGCAGATCGAGACAGCATCGAAACATCCAGCCACATGGGATGCACCAATCAAGGCTAATGATATCTTTAAAACTTCTCCCGGATCTGCTAAACAAATCCAAACTGTGCTAACCAAAGGAATAGCTGGCATTGGGAAAACAGTGTCTGTGCAAAAGTTCACACTAGATTGGGTTGAGAACAGAGCCAACCAGGACATCCACATGATATTTCCACTCCCTTTTCGTGAAATGAATGTAATTAAAGAAAAGAAAATTAGTCTGATAAACATTCTTGAGTGCTTCTTCAATCTAAAGATAGATCCAGAAGTGTTATACTCAGACAAATACAAGGTAGTCTTTATCTTTGATGGACTTGATGAATGTCGGTTTCCTCTGGATTTCCAAAACAACAGGAGTTGCTCTAGTGTGACGGAATCAGTATCAGTCAGTGTCCTACTGACAAACCTCATCTGCAAGAACTGGCTTCCTTCTGCTTTAGTCTGGATAACCTCACGACCAGCTGCAGCAGGTCAAATACCACCTGACTTCATGGACCGTGTGACCGAGGTGCGAGGTTTCAATGACTCCCACAAGGAAGAATACTTCAAGAAAAAAATAAGTGATCCAGACTTGTCCTCCAGGATAATCTCTCACTTGAAGTCTTCAAAGGTCCTTCACATCATGTGCCACATCCCAGTGTTCTGTTGGATATCAGCTACAGTTCTCGAAAGAATGTTTCGTGATTCGGAGAGTGGTGAAATTCCCAAGACTCTCACGCAAATGTACGCTCACTTCCTGATGTTCCAGATCAAGCACGGGAGTCACAAATATGATGAGAATTCCGAAGCCGGTTTGAAGTGGGATAACCAGACCACATTGTTGCTTGGAAAGCTGGCATTTCAACAGCTTGAAAAGGGTAATTTATTGTTCTATGAAGAAGATTTGAGGGAATGTGGCATTAAACTTAACGTTGCATCAGTGTATTCAGGAGTTTGTACCCAAATCTTCAGAGAAGAGGCAGGGCTACTTCAGGAGAGGGTCTTCAGCTTCATACACGCAAGTATACAGGAGTTTCTGGCTGCATTGTATGCATTTCTTGTGTTTGTCAACCATAAACGGAATGTCCTCAGTCAGACGACAAATGCTAAAATCATAAGTGCTTTCAAAAAAATGTCAGTGCAAGAATTTCTGAAATGTGCTGTGAATAATGCTTTAGCAAGCGACAATGGACATTTGGACTTTTTCCTTCGCTTCTTGTTGGGACTATCTCTTGAATCCAACCAGACTCTTCTTAAGGGACTCTTGAATGAGGTGAGCGATACTGAAAGCAGCATAAAAACGATTCAATACGTAAAGGAAAAAATCAGGGACCACCCTTCAGCAGAGAAGGCAATAAGTCTTTTCCATTGCCTAAGTGAACTGAAAGATGATTCTTTGGTTGAGGAAGTGCAGGACTTCATAAATTCACATGGTTTTAGTGGTGGAAAGTGGTCTCCTTCACGCTTTTCTGCTTTGGCTTACATACTGCTCACATCTGCTGAAGAACTGGATGTGTTTGACTTGTCAAAGTTCATTCATCCAAGCATGTCTTCAAATGACGGGCTGTTAAGATTGCTGCCAGTCATCAAAGCATCCCGATCAGTTATGTAAGTAGGTCATGCCAGAAATGTACTCTACCCAAGTATGTAAACACAGATGTGAATACTTAGTCAGCATATATTCCAAGAACACAGTACCTACTTAAAGGGGTCATATGATGTTGCTAAAAAGAACATTATTTTGTGTATTTGGTGTAATGAAATGTGTTTATACGGTTTAAGGTTCAAAAAACACATTATTTTCCACATACTGTACATTATTGTTTCTCCTCTATGCCCCGCCTTTCTGAAACGCATTGATTTTTACAAAGCTCATCGGTCTGAAAAGCAAGGTGTGCTGTGATTGGCCAGCTATCCATTGCGTTATGATTGGCCGAATACCTCAAGCGTGTGACGGAAATGTTACGCCCCTACCATACTGTGATGCCTTGTCCGGCCGGAGCGATGATTCAAAAACATGAAAACCCATTATAAATGAGGCATTCGTTGCAACATAATTACATGGGCATAATTATGGATATAATTAATGGACATAATTATGGATTATAATGACTTATACTGTCTTTTTACGCGTTGCGTTGCATCGCACCACGTAAACATAAAACCATGTCTGCATGTGTGATCGGAGAAATGACAAACAACAAGCCCTACTCTACACTGCCCAAAAAAACTAGCTGCTTTCTTTTTTTTCCCATTAGATTGAGATGTTGTAATGTGACAGATAAAGGCTGTTCAGGCCTGTCCTCTGTACTTAGTTCAAGTCTCTCATGTCTGAGAGAACTGGATTTGACTTCCAACAATCTTCAGGATTCAGGAATAAAACAACTTGCTGCCGGACTGGGGAATCCTCAGTGTAAACTAGAGACTCGGAGGTAGGAAGTGGACTGTGCCTATGATATGGATTGTTGAAAAAATGTGCAGTGGCAAAAATGGCCAAATTACAAGTATCTATTGCATTTGATTATAAAAACTGTAAAATTTGTTAAATATTGTGTAGAATTTAATGTATGTAAGAAAATAAAATGACAGTAGATAGTTTGTTGCTGCTTCCACGTGCCTGGCCAGAGGAAAATTTGGTTTAGAGACTCTCACATCATACATCAAAAGAGCTCTTAAGTTCTAAATGATTTTATTAAAAATAAAAAAAAATAGACACAAAGAAGACAACTGTGACATACAGTTTAGAGCTATACAATACATGTAGATAGCTCAGCTAATTTGGTTTTGGAACGGCTGTCCATATTTTCCAGCCTTCGGCCCAACATACTTTAAATGACTTTTCCTGAGACAGTGTTGAGATCTATGTTAAAACTGTAGAAAACTTTGAGATTATCCTTTTCTTTTTCTTAGAAGAATCATTGAGAAACAGGAAACTTTAGTAAACGTCTCCATTTGCTGTCCAATGAATCACACTGGTATGTAGAAGAAACAACAAATATATTTCATTTGTGATTTTTCTTTTCTTTCTTGTGGTTGTAGACTTTTCAATTGCAGCATCGGTGAAAATGACTGTGCTTCTTTGGCTTCAGCTTTGAAGTCAAACCCAGCTCACTTAATTGAACTTGATTTGACACACAACAAGCCTCGTGATACGGGTGTGAAAATGCTTTCTGATGTGCTAACAGATACGAGCTGCAAACTGGAAACACTAAGGTGGGCTCTAATATGTAATAAGTGGGCACTAAAATATATAACTTACACTTCCTACTGGGTTTATTCTACAAACCCCTTGAGTCCTTTTAAAATCTCAGAGTTCTTTTCTTTCTTGTGGTTGTAGACTTTTCAATTGCAGCATCAGTGCTGTGCTTCTTTGGCTTCAGCTTTGAAGTCAAACCCAGCTCACTTAATTGAACTTGATTTGACACACAACAAGCCTCGTGATACGGGTGTGAAAATGCTTTCTGATGTGCTAACAGATACGAGCTGCAAACTGGAAACACTAAGGTGGGCTCTAATATGTAATAAGTGGGCACTAAAATATATAACTTACACTTCCTACTGGGTTTATTCTACAAACCCCTTGAGTCCTTTTAAAATCTCAGAGTTTTTGCTGATAATCAGATAGTAATCCCTCAATCCCTCATGAATTTCTGTGGGACTGAGTTTAATTTTTGAACAAATGTCGGATGCAGATGTCACCGCAGTTGTAGAATTACACATTGATTTGGATAGACCATGTCAATGTAGTATCAAACATGAAAATATGAACTTTTTTGCACTAAAAATAAGCACTACTTTTAACCACATCAAATGCATGAATTTGGTCAAGTCTACAATGTTAAATTGAGGGCATTTTTTTAGGTTGATGGCCTGTGAACTTACCAGGAAAAGTTGTGCGGCATTGGCCCAAGCACTTCAGTCCACCTCTACAAGCCTGAAACATTTAGATTTAAGTTTGAATGACCTCCAGGATTCAGGAGTGAATCTGCTCTGCATTGGTCTAAAGAGCCCTTCCTGCGAGCTTAAGACATTGAGGTATTACAATCAGACAAGTAGACAGTGTTCATGTGCTGAGTAACACACAACCCACTGGACATTAACATGATGCCGATAGATGACTGATCTGATTCTGAGGAAATAATGTCACATGCTGTGTATCCCATGACAGTAGTTCATGATTATCTCCCTCTACTATTTGCAGTCTATCAGACTGTAAAATTACAGCCTATGGATGTTCTGCATTGTCACCTGCTTTAAAGTCAAACCCATCACACATGAGAGAGTTGGACCTCAGCATTAACAACCTGACAGACTCAGGAGTGAAGCATCTGCTCCCTGTGTTTGAAGACCCACGTGTGCATCTAGAGAGATTATGGTAATAGGCCTCCAGTTTGTTTGTTAATCATGTAATGTACATCTCACAATTAACAAATGAGACTGGATGGACATTTGGAGCATTTTTTCCGCTGTTTTTGTGCTTTTCTCAGGCTGAATAATTGCAGTCTCACACATAAAAGCTGTCGGATGATGGGTTATGTAAACAAACAAGACTCAGGTCTGAGAGAGCTGAACCTCAGTGCTAATGCAATACTGGACTCAGGTTTGAAGCAGCTTTCAGTGGCACTTTGCCATCTTCTGTCAGGACTGCAGTCACTGAGGTAATAAAGATTTCCTAAATATTTTCAGTAATTAGTTATTTCAATTCAAACTAAATGAAGAAAATTCTTCTTCTTCTTCTTCATCATTATTATTATTGTGAACTGTAACTTACATTTCAAATTGAACCATATATTGAAAGGTGAATCTGAATCTGAAAGTGAATCATATATTGAAAGGTGAATCTGTACACTACAGAAAATTTGACTGTTTTTACTTGTACAAAATATATGTCATTTAAAGTAATCTTGTTATAATTGCATGACCCTTTGCAGTGTAACATACTGTGGGCTTATGGCAAATGGGTGTGCTGTTCTGGCATCAGCTCTCAGATCTAACCAGACACAGCTAAAAGCACTGGATCTCAGAGGAAATAGACTGACGGATTCAGGAGTGAAGCCGCTCTCACATCTGCTGGAGGATCCACAAAGTAAATCAGAAGAACTTGAGTAAGTATTTGAAACTTAGTATACAGACAGTATGATGATAATTTACACCTAGTTTAAAAATTAGGTGTTATTATTTAAAAAAAGATAAGACAGGATTGGATTATTGTATATTTTTTGGTTGTTTGCAACAATATTCAGGTGAATCTTAAGGAAATGTTTGGGCCATATTTCGCCCCAAAACAAAAAGACAGAAGTGGAAATTTAAAGATATTAATTGTGGTAATAAGAATGAAATATTATTGCATTACAGTAATGAGAAATGGGTAGAATGTGCTTAATTGTCACGTAAATAATTTCACAATGCAGAATATTGCAATGAAAAAGCTTAAAATGTATTTTATTTTCTTATGCAAGGTAGCTACCATTTCTTTGATATTTCTTTAGGTTGGTCACAAAATATGAAAATATGATGATTTCGTTTCTCTTTAATATTTATATTACAATATCCTAGTACAAATGGCTTTAAATGTCCACCTCACAGATTCATGGATGGAATAATATCCAAAATCAGGCACCTACGGATGACTCCCACAAACAGGATGCTCTACCTGAAAATTCAACAAAATCAAAAGAACAAAAAACAAAAGACATGTGCGTATGCTTTAAAAAAATAAATATGTGACTCTGTTATTAGTTAATTTAGTGTAAGTTGGACAAGTTTGCTCACAGCTGTGTTACACCAGTCCAGTCAAGCAGACCTGAAAGAGAGCTTTATATTGGATCACTGGTTAAAGTGTGACATCTACGGTGACCGGGAGGTGACATGTTCAGTTCACTTCGTTTTGTCGTGGCCATGACATATGAACACGTGGGAACATGATAAAATGTTCTGGCCACAAGATCCTATTGAGAGAACAACATCCATTTCTCGTGGCCACGAGTTTAATGTGTAAACAATCGTAAAACAATATTTTATTTTGAATGAAGAAATTATTATATTAATTATTATAGAAATTATTACATTATTAAATTATTATATTAACCATAGGCCTAGGCTACCGGACTGTATTGCGCGTGATGTAGACAGCATTCAAATAAATTTTATCATGAATAAATGTTACATAAAGTACATAAAATAAAATAGACATTTTTATCCATTAACTGATCGAGTTTTTCCATAATATTTGTATATTATTATTATTATTATTGTTTTTTTGTTTTTTATATTCGTTGTTATGTGTTTGATTTATTTTCCCTTCATTTCGATCTCTTTACTTATCGTTCTGAATAGTTTAGTAAATAATAGCCTACTGTAAATGCTGGACATGCCAATAAAGCTTTGATTTTGCTGCATGACTGGAATTTTTACTGGAAGTGCAGTTTAAAGGTTGAATTTAACATATATTTCATTTTATTTTGGCTAATTAATAGGCTATAATTATAAATAATATAGTGTTTCATTGAAAAATGAATAATTTGATTATCATTTGTAAATGAAACACAACACGCTCATTTATCATCACACACGGGCGTAAATACAACCATAAAGTCAAAACTTGATTGGCATAATTGTCAGGTGTTTACAGTATTTGCAAAATATATGGTAGCATATTAATAATAATTATACAGAGCGTTAATTAGGTAAAGCGATATGCAAATTGAAAGGGGAAATACAACAATTTATATAAAAATATAGCACTATCCAGTTAATATAAAATAATAATAATAATAATAATATGCAAATATGAAATAAAAATACACAATCAGTTAACAAATTTACAAGACTGTGGGATGTATAAAAATGTTTTATCCATCTTTGATAATTGCAGGTTGCTCTGGTCACGCATTAAACTCATGGCCACGAGAAATGTTGTTCCCTCAACACAGGATCTCAAGGCTATGACATAAGGATGTCGTTACCTCGACAATGATCTCGTGGATACGACATATTATCACGTTGCCATGAGTTAATATGAACCGAACATGTCCCTCCCGGTCACCGTAGACATCAGGTCTCAGTGTTGCTTATCATCTGAATTATTCAAACCAACAAGGAAAGGTCATCATGGAAACTACTTCTTGGAAATGGCCTGGAACATCTGTATGGAGCATGCAGCATGTGTGTGACATGGCATCATGGGTACAGAATGAATCATGCATAGTTTCGTTCTTCAGCAGGAACAGTATGACAAACACATTCCGGAATTGAGGTACAAGGGAAACTATGAGGAATGGCAGGTTTGTTAGTCAGCTGCAGACCTGTACAGGTGTTATGTAAATATAGATCCAAATCTGCTGCATTGTAAAACCTTTACTTTAGTGTACGTATATTGTATATAGACAAATTTATACTAGATTTAGTTGATATTATTATAGTTAAAACATTTTGCTACTGACAGCTGCTAAATATGTTGACTTGGCAAATATGTATACAGTATTTACTGTAAACTACTACCTCTTCTGAGATCCTAAACATCTGACTTTATCATCTATCTTTCCACCTGGAAACCAGTTACAATACCCTAGCAACCGCCTAGTAACGGCCTAGCAAAGTTGTTAAGTCTTAGCCTAAATGCCTAGCAATGACTCAAAACACATTAATAACCACCAAGCAAGGTCTACATCTGTTCAAAATATTAAAAAATATGTCTTTAAAACGTTGAATTCAGTCACTCATCAAAAGTATTCATGTAAACATGTAAAACATGTAAGATTTCATATTTTGATCTGATATTAAATCAATCTAACACTAAAATATTATCAGGCAACGGATACATTGCTTTTGTAGTTTTATTAATAATTGTACCACATATTGATTTATTGATATTCATCAAAAATAATAGCCATTGTAGACTGAAGCATCTCTTGTTTTAAAGGGGTCATATGATGCTGCTAAAAAGAACATTATTTTGTGTATTTGGTGTAATGAAATGTGTTTATGCGGTTTAAGGTTAAAAAAACACATTATTTTCCACATACTGTACATTATTGTTTCTCCTCTATGCCCCGCCTTTCTGAAACTCGTCGATTTTTACAAAGCTCATCGGTCTGAAAAAGCAAGGTGTGCTGTGATTGGCCAGCTATCCAATGCGTTATGATTGGCCGAATACCTCAAGCGTGAGACGGAAATGATACGCCCCTCACCATACTGTGATGATGCCAATCTGTACACTACAGAAAATTTGACTGTTTTTACTTGTACAAAATATATGTCATTTAAAGTAATCTTGTTATAATTGCATGACCCTTTGCAGTGTAACATACTGTGGGCTTATGGCAAATGGGTGTGCTGTTCTGGCATCAGCTCTCAGATCTAACCAGACACAGCTAAAAGCACTGGATCTCAGAGGAAATAGACTGACGGATTCAGGAGTGAAGCCGCTCTCACATCTGCTGGAGGATCCACAAAGTAAATCAGAAGAACTTGAGTAAGTATTTGAAACTTAGTATACAGACAGTATGATGATAATTTACACCTAGTTTAAAAATTAGGTGTTATTATTTAAAAAAAGATAAGACAGGATTGGATTATTGTATATTTTTTGGTTGTTTGCAACAATATTCAGGTGAATCTTAAGGAAATGTTTGGGCCATATTTCGCCCCAAAACAAAAAGACAGAAGTGGAAATTTAAAGATATTAATTGTGGTAATAAGAATGAAATATTATTGCATTACAGTAATGAGAAATGGGTAGAATGTGCTTAATTGTCACGTAAATAATTTCACAATGCAGAATATTGCAATGAAAAAGCTTAAAATGTATTTTATTTTCTTATGCAAGGTAGCTACCATTTCTTTGATATTTCTTTAGGTTGGTCACAAAATATGAAAATATGATGATTTCGTTTCTCTTTAATATTTATATTACAATATCCTAGTACAAATGGCTTTAAATGTCCACCTCACAGATTCATGGATGGAATAATATCCAAAATCAGGCACCTACGGATGACTCCCACAAACAGGATGCTCTACCTGAAAATTCAACAAAATCAAAAGAACAAAAAACAAAAGACATGTGCGTATGCTTTAAAAAAATAAATATGTGACTCTGTTATTAGTTAATTTAGTGTAAGTTGGACAAGTTTGCTCACAGCTGTGTTACACCAGTCCAGTCAAGCAGACCTGAAAGAGAGCTTTATATTGGATCACTGGTTAAAGTGTGACATCTACGGTGACCGGGAGGTGACATGTTCAGTTCACTTCGTTTTGTCGTGGCCATGACATATGAACACGTGGGAACATGATAAAATGTTCTGGCCACAAGATCCTATTGAGAGAACAACATCCATTTCTCGTGGCCACGAGTTTAATGTGTAAACAATCGTAAAACAATATTTTATTTTGAATGAAGAAATTATTATATTAATTATTATAGAAATTATTACATTATTAAATTATTATATTAACCATAGGCCTAGGCTACCGGACTGTATTGCGCGTGATGTAGACAGCATTCAAATAAATTTTATCATGAATAAATGTTACATAAAGTACATAAAATAAAATAGACATTTTTATCCATTAACTGATCGAGTTTTTCCATAATATTTGTATATTATTATTATTATTATTGTTTTTTTGTTTTTTATATTCGTTGTTATGTGTTTGATTTATTTTCCCTTCATTTCGATCTCTTTACTTATCGTTCTGAATAGTTTAGTAAATAATAGCCTACTGTAAATGCTGGACATGCCAATAAAGCTTTGATTTTGCTGCATGACTGGAATTTTTACTGGAAGTGCAGTTTAAAGGTTGAATTTAACATATATTTCATTTTATTTTGGCTAATTAATAGGCTATAATTATAAATAATATAGTGTTTCATTGAAAAATGAATAATTTGATTATCATTTGTAAATGAAACACAACACGCTCATTTATCATCACACACGGGCGTAAATACAACCATAAAGTCAAAACTTGATTGGCATAATTGTCAGGTGTTTACAGTATTTGCAAAATATATGGTAGCATATTAATAATAATTATACAGAGCGTTAATTAGGTAAAGCGATATGCAAATTGAAAGGGGAAATACAACAATTTATATAAAAATATAGCACTATCCAGTTAATATAAAATAATAATAATAATAATAATATGCAAATATGAAATAAAAATACACAATCAGTTAACAAATTTACAAGACTGTGGGATGTATAAAAATGTTTTATCCATCTTTGATAATTGCAGGTTGCTCTGGTCACGCATTAAACTCATGGCCACGAGAAATGTTGTTCCCTCAACACAGGATCTCAAGGCTATGACATAAGGATGTCGTTACCTCGACAATGATCTCGTGGATACGACATATTATCACGTTGCCATGAGTTAATATGAACCGAACATGTCCCTCCCGGTCACCGTAGACATCAGGTCTCAGTGTTGCTTATCATCTGAATTATTCAAACCAACAAGGAAAGGTCATCATGGAAACTACTTCTTGGAAATGGCCTGGAACATCTGTATGGAGCATGCAGAATGTGTGTGACATGGCATCATGGGTACAGAATGAATCATGCATAGTTTCGTTCTTCAGCAGGAACAGTATGACAAACACATTCCGGAATTGAGGTACAAGGGAAACTATGAGGAATGGCAGGTTTGTTAGTCAGCTGCAGACCTGTACAGGTGTTATGTAAATATAGATCCAAATCTGCTGCATTGTAAAACCTTTACTTTAGTGTACGTATATTGTATATAGACAAATTTATACTAGATTTAGTTGATATTATTATAGTTAAAACATTTTGCTACTGACAGCTGCTAAATATGTTGACTTGGCAAATATGTATACAGTATTTACTGTAAACTACTACCTCTTCTGAGATCCTAAACATCTGACTTTATCATCTATCTTTCCACCTGGAAACCAGTTACAATACCCTAGCAACCGCCTAGTAACGGCCTAGCAAAGTTGTTAAGTCTTAGCCTAAATGCCTAGCAATGACTCAAAACACCTTAATAACCACCAAGCAAGGTCTACATCTGTTCAAAATATTAAAAAATATGTCTTTAAAACGTTGAATTCAGTCACTCATCAAAAGTATTCATGTAAACATGTAAAACAAGTAAGATTTCATATTTTGATCTGATATTAAATCAATCTAACACTAAAATATTATCAGGCAACGGATACATTGCTTTTGTAGTTTTATTAATAATTGTACCACATATTGATTTATTGATATTCATCAAAAATAATAGCCATTGTAGACTGAAGCATCTTTTGTTTAAAAGGGGTCATATGATGCTGCTAAAAAGAACATTATTTTGTGTATTTGGTGTAATGAAATGTGTTTATGCGGTTTAAAGTTAAAAAAACACATTATTTTCCACATACTGTACATTATTGTCACACAGCGTCACACACTGCGGGGCTTGAGTGAGCGGAGGCCGGCTAGAGTGAGGAACGGCCGGAGGGCTTGAGTGAGCAGAGGCGGTGGGCTTGAGAACGGCGCGGCCGGCGGATTCGACGAAGGCGTTTTAGGTAGGCGTGGTTGACTCTTAACTTTTATAAAGAATATCTCTTTGGATTTGAGACTTTAGTCTTTGCAACTTTACAGATCTTCTTTATGCACCAAGAGCTTGTAACACTCCAAAGAGAAAGGAAAACTTGAAATTGCATCATATGACCCCTTTAAGTTTACAAAATAATGAAACTCACAATGATGTAAGTCTGTGTATGAACAGTAGAGGGCAGTACAGGATCTTAATGTGGAAATTTTATTATCATATTCCTTGTGTTTTTCAACTAATTTTGACATTTGTCTAGTGAAGATATAAAACTGTGAATGAAGAATCTGAAGTCAATACACAGAAAAATGACCCAGCATCATCAAGTGTTTCATTTGAATGTTTATTTATAAAACAAGAAAGAGGGCATCATTTCATTAATAGTCATTATAATTATTACAGCATACCTTTTTTCATATAACTTGAAAATGTGTTGTATTGATATTCAGAGTTCACCAAGTCTTTCTCTGGTTGGTCATAACAAACCACTCTCCACACAGTTTCTCATATGGAAACAATTATAAAATTGGACTTTGGTCAAAAGTTGGGCCTTTTTGTTTTGAATATTGCATTGCCAGCTTGGGTGTATCTTGATAATAATAAACATTTTTAAATAATTACGTTCTTGCATTGATAAGTGCTACACTTGATTTATTTATGAGTGCATTTAACGGCAGACTACACTGATTTAACAGCACCTGCATGCATTTCATTCATAAAACCTTTTTATACTAGAGTAACTGCACAAGGAACGTATTTCAAAAAGAAATGAAAAACACAACAAAAGAATATGGTAAATTTGGCATAACACAAATAAATGCTCTATTAGGGCAAACTTCATTTCTAAAACAAACAATTTATGAAATAAGTGTATTTCATTTAAAATACTGCTCATGCAAACATGATGCAGGCAATATTAAACTGTGAATTCATATATAACAAAGGTAAACAATAGCTGCGTTTATATGATACGGGACTTCTATTAGCCCACCTAAGTTTATCTTAAATTCTCACCAAAATGATCCAGGACTAAAATTCATGCTGTTCAGCCAGTGCTGTACTAAAGAAAAAAATAACATTAAACAAGCTACATCCAACTAACACAACCTCGAACCCTCTGAGGTGTAATGAGCAGGTAAACTGGTCCTAACTAAGCAAATTGGCACCTATCACCACTTTCAGAAATAAGGGTCATCACACCTGAGATTAAATGCACAATATCTGTTACTTGTAAACAATTCATTAGCCATGCAGTCAAAGTACTTTGTTTTAAAACCTACAAGAAGTTCTATTGTTCATCTCAAGGTATTTAGCTGCACATTTCTCGTTCATGAATGATCATAGTCAATGTACACATAATCTACAGAAGAGGTTCAGTTTGTAATAATGTGCAGTTTAATTTGACCATAAATGAGGAAAACTGCAGTGACAATGCCTGAATCCATATGGAAAAACTCGGGGAAAAGCATTCCCATCCCACACATGATTAAATTTTGATGCATGTTTTCTGCATGATTTATAGAGATAATACAGCATAGATGCAGTGTGAGTGGGTGTGAGTTTGACGTTGACACACTGTCATGTTAAATAAATGAAGTCTTTGCTCTGTGCCTGTGTTTGAGTTATTTTTCCCGAGGTTGCTGGGGTAAAGGCTCGCTCGTGTATTTTCTTGCTGAAATATGAAGGGTTTGGAGCAGAAGGAGCACATCTGAGCTCTTGACACTGACTGGAGCGATCTCAAGAGACACGTTAAGTGCTGTCGGTAGCTTTTTATTTCTGTTAAATGCTGTTTAACCAGATGTCACTGAGCATTGTTTGCTTGAGAACTTCTGATGGATTGAATTATACAAATTGGACATTTTATATAATTTTGTTCTTGATCCATGTGATATTTTGAAGAGAATCTTCTGACGTCGTTTAATTGGGTCATTCCACAATAGTGATGTTATTTCCAGCTTATCAATTCTAAATGAAACATACCATACAATCTTACCTTGTGTTCTTTTTCAAGTTGATTTTAAATATTTCTTTTGTTTTAAAAATGAAAATGAATTTTTACCACTGGCTGACTTGCTCTTCTGTCAGTGAGTTTTACACTTAAGAATTTGATGAAAATGTACTCACTCTTAGGGTAGATGAGTTTGATGAGTGTTTCTTTATCTGAACATTACATCCTCTGCAGTGAATGGGTGCTATCAGTCAATGTCTTGTGAAGTGAAAAGCTGCGTGTTTGTAGGAAACAAAACCATCAAGATGTGTTTAACTCTTCTTGTTCCTTACAAACATGCAGCTTTTGACAAGACATTAACTGATGGACTGGAGTGGTGTGGATTACTTGTGGATTATTGTGATGTTTTTATCAGCTGTTTGGACTCTCATTCTGACGGCACCCATTCACTACAGAGGATCCACTGGTGAGCAAGAAATGCAATGCTAAATTTCTCTGAATCTGTTCCGATGAAGAAATAAACTCATCTGTATCTTGAATGGCCTGAGGGTGAGTGAATTTTCTGCAAATTTTCATTTTTGGGTGAA